AGAAGTACAGAACATTTACAAAGAAACAAAGAGTCCTGATAAGCCTGAGAAATAATCTGACAAAATTGTCAGGAAATTATTACAATACAATACAATTCTTAAGGACTACTATTTGAAACATTAGATTATGAAGAAATTGTATGATATATGTTGTAATAAAGGTGCGGGTGTTTATACATATTTAAAGATGCAAATCTAAAATGCAAAATTATAATATGAAATATAATACTGGTTGTAATATTTAATGAGTGAAATATATTTCTGCCTCATTATGGATTAATATACGTTAAGATACTATTTCATCTACTATTTTTTTTTTTTTTTTTGCTATCAATTTACATTATCAAATTTTATTTTTCAACACTATAACTGTGAAAAGCAGTTCCAAAGATTCGCTTAATATTCTTCTCACTACTAATACTGATTGTTCCACCTAGATTCTAGACCACTGTATGTGAAATTGAAAAAAGTTGGAACATGATCGCCGAGCCCCTACTGAGTTGAATTCTGCGTTTGTAAAAAAATACAAATTTCCATCAAAATCCAGTGATGTAGTTCCCACAGAAAGAGAAACGTGCGGGTCAAAGTGAATCAGCCGGTCGTGAACGTCTTTCTAACTGGATATTCGTAACGCAACACGTGGTTTCAACGATTCGCCCACGTCCAAAGAAAAGTGGATAATCAGGGCAAAAGTAGGTGAGAAGAGGAAGGTCGAACTCCGCCTTCTTTTCCTTCCTTGTTCGTCAGAGTCTCCCGTTACTTCACGGAATCGTGGGAAATTAGGAACTGAGCCAGGCTAATTAAACACGTCGACCTTTTGTTTTCAAGGTAGAAACTGACGTGCATTACACACGCCGTGCGCAATACACGCGAATGTGTAACACGCACGTGTCAGTCGCTTTCGATCATTTCACGGGCCCTACCAGTTTCCCGATCTCTTCCTGATTTCTACGCCGCTGGTCAGTAGGTCGACGCGAAAATGCGAACGTTCCCTTTGCGAAATTGCCTGCCGATCGTAAACGACAGCGTTATCATCCATTAACGTTTACGACGATCAATTACGAAACTGTAATTACATAGACTATGAGCTGGGTGAAAATTTGTCTTCTTTGGAAATGAGATTCGAGGTACGACATTTCTTTCGTTATAAATTCTATTTAGAAATTTAAAGTTTTAATTTAAAATGTTAAATATTTATATTTCTTAATTTAAAATGTTAAATATTTCTATTTCTATTTATATATCTGACAAATATTAAATATTTATATTTCCACATCTAACAAATATTAAATATTTATATTTCCACATCTGACAAATATTAAATATTTATATTTCCATATTTGACAAATATTTAATATTTGTATTTCCATATCTGACAAATATTAAATATTTATATTTCCATATCTGACAAATATTAAATATTTATGTTTCCACATCTGACAAATATTAAATATTTATATTTCCATATCTGACAAATATTAAATATTTATGTTTCCACATCTGACAAATATTAAATATTTATATTTCCATATCTGACAAATATTAAATATTTATATTTCCACATTTGACAAATATTAAATATTTATATTTCCACATCTGACAAATATTATATATTTATATTTCCATATCTGACTAATATTAAATATTTATATTTCCACATTTGACAAATATTAAATATTTATATTTCCACATCCGACAAATATTAAATATTTATATTTCCACATCCGACAAATATTAAATATTTATATTTCCACATCTGACAAATATTAAATATTTATATTTCCTTATCTGACAAATATTAAATATTTATGTTTCCACATCTGACAAATATTATATATTTATATTTCCACATCTGACAAATATTAAATATTTATATTTCCATATTTGACAAATATCAAATATTTATATTTCCACATCTGACAAATATTAAATATTTATATTTCCATATCTGACAAATATTAAATATTTATATTTTCATATCTGACACTCCAGTTCAACTAACTGTATCACAAAAAATTCTATTTCCATTTTCATACGTTTCTCGTGCTAGAAATGGGACAGCCCTGAAATTTTAATTTCGAGCAACAACGAAAGTCAAGTTGAATATAGTGGTGTATACTTGCAGGCATTCGATTAATTTCTTATCACAGTTACGCAGTTGCGAAAACCGAAATTATTATTTCGCCACGGCCTTTCTGGATCTCGGATCACGATAATGTATGCTTTCACTAATTGTAAGATTTAATTATACCCCTCGTCAACCCGGTGGATGTATCGTAAGACGATAAGAAAAAGGAGACAAGCAAGACTATTGTATTCGCGATAAGAATTTAATACCTATGTGAATCAGACACCACCGACAGGGATAATCGTTCGATCGATCGGATCGTTCGAAGGAAAGCTCGCGAAGGAAGAATGAAAGACAAGAGATAAAGGAAATGAAAGGGCCGCGGAAAAAGAAACGAGGGGAAGATTGACACGACTGAGTAGCGATCGGAACGGAAGAATGTAATTAGTTGGGAACACCAGTGTTCAGGAAGTAGTTGGAAACGCCGCGTAACAGAAAAGTGTGTGGCTCCCCCGACGAAACGTGGGAAATACGGGCAAACCGTCACTTTACTATGAGAAGTGATTACGATCGTTAAACGTAGAAAAGCCACTTTTATGAATCGCTTTTCACACACAATGTAGGTGGATTAATCGTGGAGATCTACGACAACATTTCTAATAGGACGCAATGAACGCCTTGCAAAACAGTTTGATCGCATAACACGAGCCGAGTACTCTCAAGTACTCGGCTCTGAAAATCCTTTCTCCATGTGCATCGAAGTTTTGGTAAATTTTTTTTCCGTACAGTGAGATTTCTTTCATAAAGTTCTGCAAATCCTTTCTCCGTAATAATAGTTATTGTTAGTAAATTCTTGTTGTGTACTATATAGGATTTATCCATTCTTAAAGAGATTTCTATTGATGATCTGTTGATTTCAATTTAAATCCTTGCAGGTATAGGAAAATATTAATCCTTCATTTGTCCATTATCTTAAAAATCTGAATTCCTTTCTTACCATCTTATCGTTAAATACATGGTAAAATCATAGCGTGCCGACAAACAGGTGCATGTGTGAGAAACAAGAATCTTTGTCAGCACTTGCCATTAAATGCAAAAAAGTATAAGCAGTGATGAGGGTCAACATGCGTGCAATTTTATCGCTTTACGCGACAGAAATGGATTTACGCAGATGCATCCAGTTGGGAAAAGTTTGCTAGCCTCGTAGCCGGTGAAATCGACTCTGAAGAATTACTTGCCCTTCCAAGATATTGATGGAAATACACGTTGAAAGGCTTATATATCCGGTTTCGTCACCAAGAAGTTATTCATCAAAGAAACGCGATAAATAAACACTCTTTCATATTTCCACATATCTATTTTGTGAGATACAGTAAATGAATAAATTTAATATAAATGATGATGTTGGTATAACGATCATAATTAGTACAGTGATCATAATAAATAATTAAGAATTTCTATCTTGACGTTTAAATAGACTTTGGAATATGTTGTATTATATAGACAGATACGTTAAAATTATTAAAATAATCACGCTAAAAGCGATCGTGACGAAAGATTTTTGTTACTGTAACAAATGTCAGACGTATCGTTGTTAATAAAATAAATGCAGGAGATCGCAGGATAATATAATATTTTGATCACGAGTTGTTAAAGTTTCGTTTAATTACGTAACACTTGAAAGGAAATCTGCACTTTGTTTCTTAATTCTATCACGATAAAAAATTATACTGTACTCTCTGCAGATTTCAATCTTCTAGAAAGAGTGGCTTTGTTTGTTAAAACACTCGTGAATTTCCTATATTCTTAATTAGATGGATGCTCTCTTTAAGATAGAGAAACAAGAGATTTCCTAAACGTTCTTTCGTAATGTGAACTCTAAAGTAAACTTGTCCTTTACCACGATGTTGGGTAAAATGTTCGGATTGCGTACAAGTACACAATGTGGAACGATACTTTCCTATATTCTTCTTCATAATTTAAATCACTCACTCGAGATTAATCTCCATTAAAATGATGTGATGTGTTGCAAAGTATAGTACGGTACTAATTTAATATTATCTTATATTGGAGTCTCTCCTATGATTAAGTATCTTCTTCATCGAAAATTCGTATGAAACTCTGCGACTTCAAGATAGCCTCCGTTTTTTTAAATAGAACTGTACTACTTTTATCCAGATGAATGTTCCATAACGAATTCATCGACCTAAATATGTTGATATTGCAAGGTTATTCAAGGTCATTTAAAATTTGCCGTTCAAAATTTTTATCTTCGTTAAATACAGCATTCTCGAGACTGTTTTAATACACAACTCGAAGTTACACTAATAATATAAATTCTCGTTACTTCTGCTTACTTCTGTTTCTTTTATAATCTCTTCGAAGGAATTAGCGTTCCTGGCGACAAGATTTTCTAGGCGCCAACATCCAACTCGTGTAAAGTCGTTGAAAAGAGTTGGATAAGATGTAACTGTTTTTCCAGGAGCAGAGTAAATCGAAGATAAAATATAATTTCTGAGTGTTTAATGAAGGTAAGTTTTGAAACGGCGGGTCATTTAAAATGACCTTGAATGACTTTGGAACACCACAATAATATATTTAGGTCGATGAATTTGTTACGGAATACATTATACATCCGTCTGAATACATAATTCCATTTTTTGAAAAAACGAAGGTTTTTACCTTGAAATTCAGAGGCACATCCACAAGATTTGTGGCTATCATAAGATGAAACAAAATAAATATTACTTGAAACATTTTTTTCTATGACGAATAGCTTAGTAAGGACATTTCAAATGGAACATCCTGTATATATAAAATACTGTGATGATCTTTTTACTAACGCATCAAAAAACTCTCCCCTAGTCGTAAAACCGAGGAAAATCACGAAATGAAACTAAATGAAAAAAAAAAAAAAAAAAAACGAACAAACCTTTCGTAGCCAAGCCGACGACGATCAGAAGAGCCACAGCTGTTCTCTCCATGCTTTGTGATCTGATGTCTTCTTCCAATCAGCTCTGACTCCGAAGATCAGCTGACAATCGTCTCACCGCGGCAACGATTAACGATGAATCTGCTTCGACCCTCAATCTTGTTGTTAATCCAGCAGAGAGGGGGCACACTCGTATCCGCGAGTTCACCGAATGTGACGCGGCGTCATTTCGCGATCGTTTCCGATTAAACGCCGACTGAAAACCGGAAGACTGTAAAGCCTCAGCTTAAAGAGTACAACTGACGAGACGCGAGATTTCTTTCCTCTCTTCCCTTCTTTTTTTTTTCTTCTCCTTTCTTTCTCTTTCTTCCGGCGTGAAGATACGTGCTCTCTTTGGTGATGGGTAACTTTCTAAGATACCGTGGACTCGAAACGACCGACGTGAAACAATCTTTCCTGAAGACTGAGGTGCTTACTCCCTGGCAGGAAGTCGTCCAGGTGTTCAACTCCCCACTTGCTACTCTTCTCTACCACCTCTCCAAGCCAGGTAACGACCGATGTGCTGGTTGCCATCGAGAACGAGGCTGACTTGTGCGACTGACTGTTGTTCGTCCTCTGCATTTACGTACTCCTCCGGTATTCAGGCCAACTTTTGATGGGACATCGCCAAGCCTCGAGAGGATGACAGGACCCTCCTAGCAAACAGCCGTGACGAAAATTCGATTTGGACACGTTGATTCGCTGGATGCATCGCGTGGACAGGTTGATACCTCGAATCTGGAACGGACGAGGCAAATGCTCAGAGCAGGTCTAGAACGTTGGAAAGTCTAGAGAATTGATAGTGCACGAAGCTTACGCTGCTTCCGACTGAAAAATACTTTTTAATTAAAAGTACCTGCAACGCTGCCAGTGAAGAATTTGTGAAATTTTGCTGCTCGTCACAAACTAGGAAGAGAAAATGAAAGAAACTATATAACCGTTAAAATAAATAAAACTACCTATACTACCGAAGAGATAGAAAATTTTATTTCCTAGTAATACGTATATTTATGATGTATGTTTCAGTCATAAATATTTAATAACTTGTTATAGGTAACGAATATCGTTCGTTTATTACCTCGTCTCCTTTGGAGAAGAACCGAAACAATTACCTGAAGAAAGAAAGATGAAATTATTGACGAGGAACATCACTGAAAATGTTAATGAGTTATTAACTAAGATCTATATAATGCCAATTAATTGTAAATATGATAAAAGATAATTTTTTTCTAAATATCGTTATTCCTATTATCGTGCATAAAGTATTTGGAATTAATTTTCCGGCCCGATGTTGAGTAACAGACATTGAAATATTTTAAACAGCAATTACATTCCAATTAATATTTCTGCAATCGTAACTATTAATTAATAACAGAGGATACTCGAACGTGGAGACACAAATCGGGATCATCCATTAAACATATGTTTCGCGTACATACTACTTTAACTTGAGAAACCGTATCAATTTGCATCAGACTTCAGTCAAAAAATTTTCCAGTCTGTAACGATAACGGGATGAATTTGCGTGCAGTTTGTCTCGCAAATTCATTTGTTTCTAATGATAAATGACATTCAGTTTGAAGAGAACTAGCAATTATGCTATTATTAACGTTATGATTAATAGTCACGATGACAATATTCATTGTACATAATTTTATTCTTACGGTCAAACAATATAATTTATACAGTGCAAGGCAAAACAAACATCTAAATAAATCTGGCAATGTATAATTTGTCGTTACAACAAATGTCTGTTAAACTGATCGGATTTTATCGATTCATTTTACACTGGATGTTTCATGATATTTGCTAAACGTGTACGCAATTATAAAAGGATTGGTAACAGTGGCGTGGCTCGAGCATGCGAAACACTTTCTCGCGGACTATTAAATTTCATGGCTACATTAATCAACATGTTCGAGGTGAAGGTATGATCGCATCTCGATTGTTGGCGCGAAGCAGAAACAACAATTAACTTGAACAAGGAAGCTTTGGTCATCGAGGGTTAGACGGCCCGGTTTAGGGTGACGCGGTTCGCTGACCATCATGCCAGTTCTTCCTGCTTAGACACAGACATCTCTTTTTCTTTCTGAACAATGACCGAACGTATAAACGTTTATCCTGATGGAACATAACTGTAAGATATTAAAAAGATTCTTATCGTTAAAAAGAAAATGATATCAGACATGTGTGTATTTACAGTTATGCTATATATCAAATAATTCTTGTATATATATTTTTTTTATCAAAAAATTTTTACTCGGCAGTAAATAAAATTTTTTCATGCACTTATTATGTATCTACGTATCATCGTATACGATAAGTGCGAGACATTTTGTTTTCAATACACACATTCACCATCTGAAATTTACTATTTACCATCTAAATGTAAAATAAAAAAATCAGGCGATAATATAATATCTTCGTATGCGAATAAAATATGAATATGTATACAAACGATCTCACTCGTATATTTTATCATCGACGAGCACGTATTGTCTGTTTAATTTTAAGTTATAAAAAGTACTAATTTCTCACGTGATTCTCTGTATATATATATAATTGATGTGTGAATGGCAACATTTAAACGTCGAAAACTTTCTGTGTCGTTTGTTATAAAGTAGCTCCTAACCGCGTTCTTCGTCGCGTCAGTGTTTCGTTTTCCTGGTGCATTCCGTGTCAGTTGCTCGAGAAGAGGTCGCGATTGGATATTCAATTGGAAACATAATGTACACGCACATATACATAGAGATGACGATTGCCATTTTTAGATACTCGAATATCAAATCATTCAGATCTCTTCGTACCATTTCAACAAATTCTTAGATATCCATTTCAGATATTCTCTACATGCACCATGTTTTATCGTTTTAAAAATATAAGTGTAATATATATAACTTAATGTAAGAGTATAATATATATAACTATATAACTATAAGTATAATATAAAAGTAAATATAAGGATATAGTATATATATGACTTAATTACATAACTTAATATAAGAATATGATGACTTAATGATAAGATGTATGACTTAATTATATAACTTAATATTACTTTAAAAATCACCGATTAATGAAACAATTTTCAGATTTTGACAAGACACAATATACAATATTGTATAACCAATTTAATACTATAATATTATATAACTTAATATTTAATTATACTCTTATATTAAGTTATATAATTAAGTCATATATATATACTATACTCTTATATTTACTTTTATATTATACTCTTATATTATATTTATAGTTATATATATTATACTCTTATATTATACTTATAGTTATATATATTATACTCTTATATTATACTTATAGTTATATATATTATACTCTTATATTATACTTATAGTTATATATATTATACTCTTATATTATACTTATAGTTATATATATTATACTCTTATATTATACTTATAGTTATATATATTATACTCTTATATTATACTTATAGTTATATATATTATACTCTTATATTATATACTTATAGTTATATATATATTATACTCTTATATTAAGTTATAACATTAAGTTATAATATTATAACTTATAATATTATATAGTTATAATATTATACTAATATCATATAACTTAATGTCCAATTATACTACTTGCTATATTTATCACGTTCTTAAATCTAATATTAATTAAAATTCTGTTAAATGTCGCTTTTGGAATATAAAATGATATATCCATCTAATCAAAAAATTTTGCACACCGCTATGTATGCCTCTCTAGTGTCCAACTTGGAGTTAGAAATGTGGTGGAGTCAGTATATATACGTGAAACAACGATACACTTTAATTCGAATACGTGACTGAAATTGATAAGGGATGCCGAGTGTCCATTCGAGGATCTAGGTGACTCACTGTCAGTGTGCTTTCTTTTTAGGGCACTTTCAGCATCTCGGTAACCGACGAATTGCGTAGGACCAGATTTGGTAGAGGCGGAAATTTGGTGCGACGAAAGCTAGCGGTGTCGAGTCACTTGTTAGTAACATCGGCTTCCTGACCCACATACCACGACCGCCACACAAACGTAACTCCACATGCATATGCAGGTGTGTATTTACAGGGATATACAGGTATAGAGGCGCGCGTCAAAGTATACGAGAAGCCACCGTCGTTCGAGGATAAGGTCCTCGTTCACGTTCCTGATCATTCTGATGTGAGAAGTCATGGCTATCGATGCCGCGTAACTGCCGGTGACACTCTTCTCGCAATTAAACGTACACTGTTCATCTTACAGACAGATTTTTCGTTTTAGAATAGTATTCTGTTTATACGTTTTGAATTTAATTAACCTCCGGACTGCGTGAACTTTCCTCGATTGATTCTATTTCTCTGTAAATGAATTCTTATTATGAAAATGAATGAAAAATTATATAAACCATATATATGAGCCTCAGATAACAAGTTTATACTGCGTATTCCAGAAGTAACATCTAACAAAACTTTAGTTACTGTATTGTGTATAAATATATTGATTTGAAATTACTAATTTCATATTAATCCGCACATTTTAATGAAATTCATATGCTGCCACCACAAATCCACTGAAGCATTCAGATACTTATTGGCGGGAAATTAGTATCACATTCACGTTTCTCAATTTAGTACATCATTCTTCATTTATGGCTTCCAAGGAACGATGAATAACCAGCAGAAGTATCTTCGACTACTTAAAAGTAGGGTCATCGACCGAATAGACGTCTAATCTGACCGAATCAAGTTTCTCCGTTAGTCGTCGTTGGTGACTATATATTGACGACATTGGATTCTTTCGTGCATATGAATTCGATAACCACATCCGAATATTTTTTGACCATCATACCTTTATTTACTCACCATTACGTTATTTATCCCATCTTCAACTTTCCTTCTCTAAAATTCAAGGCAATAAAAAACCATTAGCAATTATATACTAAAGCTGTGAGAATTTCTGTTTCGTTCCTTCCTCTTTTTTTTAAATACATTTTATAACTTAAATGTTCTATAGCTTAAATACAGTTTATAACTTGAATGTAATCGAGTAATTTTCTGTTTTTGCAATAAATAATGTATATATTGTTTGAATATATG